GGCTGGGGCGGACGTGTCCGTCGGTGCGGGGAGATGTTCTGGGGTTTTTTTTTTTGAGGAGGACGGGGAGGAAGACGAGATCCGAAATGGGGGGTGTTTAAATAGGCATAGAGGGAGCTAGGAGAGTCCAAATGAGGTGCGGTTTTCGCCCACACAATCGTGATCGAACGCTCTAGGACATGGAGCAGAGTTTGGTGGGTTTTGGGCCAAATTTGGGGGGTGTTGGGCTGCAACACACACGAGGCCTTTCCGGTCCCTCGGTTAACCGTTGGAGTATCAAACGAAGTCCAAATGACCCGAAACTTGACAGGCGGTCTACCGGTAGTAAACCAAGGCCGCTTGGCAAGTCTCGGTCCAATCCGGAAATGTTTAAACCCCACACACGAAAGAAAGGTAGAAATGACCACCGGAGGAGAACGAAGCGCCGGAATGCAAAACGGACAACGGGGAAAAGGCTCGAATGCATGAGATGAACATGTATGCAAATGCCATGCACGTGATGACCTGATAAGAGATGCACAAAAAAGAAAAACAACACGCAGAGACAAAAACCCAAACCCGAGAAATAAATATAACTTAGCGCCGGAGACAGCAAGAGTTGGATACAAATATGGAAAGTATATCTGGGGCGTTACAACGACCCTTGATATATTTGCCGATGAACCGGTGACGGAGTCGATCCGAGCTGCTAGAGGCGGAGTTAGTGCTTGCATGCAGCCTGGGGGCATTGTCGGGGCTTTGCGGTCCGGTACCCGGCCAGTCCATGGCACGGCGTGGCCCGAAAAGCCGGGTTGAGCTCAAATCCGACCGGATCCACTCCAAATCCGGTCGCCAGGTGCGCTGAAATCACGCGACTGGAGTTGGACAGCCTCAGACATCAAGGAAACGGGGCTGCGAAAGGGGAGGGACGGGCTTCGCGTCTGTGTGGTGCTGAAATCAGGCGGCTGGAGTTGGACAGCCCCGGGCATCAAGGAAACGAAGCTGCGAAAGGGGAGAGGACGGGCTTCGCGGCCGTGCTGGACAGCGCACGGACGAGAAAAATGGCGGCGGCGGCGGCTAGGGCGGGGCGGGTCAGGGGGAGGGGAATAGAAAAAGGGGCGCATGTGTCCCCGACGGGCGGGCTAGGAAAGGACATGGGCACACGCCACGCGCCGTCCGCGCGTGTCTGTTCCGCCACAAATACGATCCAAAGTTGGGCTGAGATGGATCGAAAGCGGACCAAAACGCGTGGCTAAAACAGAGTATAGTATAGAAGAACAACGAAGATGTCTTTCGCTTCTGAGTCAGTGTAGCGACTACCTGCTACGTAATCGTGGACTATTCTCCACCTGTCTCGGTGGGCCGCGCACGCCCCTATCCATAGACAGTCGACCCCACTGCCGTAGTAGCACTGGCCCCGCTTCACGAGACATCTCCAGCGAGTGACCGGCGGGCCAGCGGCGGTCGGCATTGGCTAAGCTAGGCCGCAAGGCAGGCACCCCCACCCTCACAAGTCACAGCAAGATACTCCCCATTCCCGGGACTCTCTCTCTCTCACCAACTCCCGGATTCCGTTTTCCACCCGCCCGCTCCGCTCTCGGCGCATCATTCCTTGCCAGCGGCCCACGCAAATCCCAAATCCCAAACCCCGCGCCGATGGACACGCAGCTCGAGCCCACCCGCGCCGCTCTTATACGCCGCAGCCTGCTCGGGCAGCCGTGATAACGCTCGTTCACCTCCCGCGCCGCGCGCACGTGCCGACTCTGGTGGCCTTGGCGGCGGGGCGGCGAGATGCTGGGGTCCGGGCTGAATCTGGTGACCACGGTGATCGGCTTCGGGATGAGCGCCACCTTCATCGTCTTCGTCTGCGCACGCCTCATCTGCGGACGCGCCGTGCGGGCCGACGCCGAGGCCGACGTCGCCGCCGCCCGGGCGATGGCTCCGGGCCCCGCGCCCTTCGACTTCGACATCGAGTTCCGCACTGCGGATCTCGATCGCACGGTGAGCCTCTGTCGTTTCCGCCACTGGTAGCGTATTTTATTAGCATCCTGTCATGTGCAGCCGATTGATCGCATCCGATGGAGATCGGCGTGCGCATGTGTTGCTGCCAGCCTACCAAATTTGCGATCGAAACCGTTGGTTGGTATTCGCAAAAACTTTGATGTGTGTTGATTCATTAGAACTAGAAGAAAATAATCTGGCTTTAACAGAGGTTCCGGAGATGCTTGCTTCCGGAGCCTCCCGTTGGCCGCATTTCTTTTTTATGTTTTAGCCTACACGACAAGTTCAATTGTGCAGAGTATTTTATATGAACCAGTATATATTACTTATTTTTGCATGATTAACATAAGGGGCTTTTATAAGAAATTATAAAATGATCATGCATTTTCTTTTTAAAAATATTACAATGCACCTCAAAGACCAAACACGCAACAACTAGGCTGAAAAAAAGACGACAACAATAACAAAGCCTTTAGTCTCAAACAAGTTGGCGTAGGCTCAAAAAGAAAGAAAGAAAATGGCATTGCTAAACCAGGTTGCGGATGTTATTTGGGGGGCCAATTGCTCAATTAACAGTACTAATAGTTCCATTGATTAAAGACCTTAGTATGAGAGGTCTTCTTCTATCTTCGATGCTACATTTCTCTACATTGCTATCTGGCATTTGTTATCCTTAATTCCCTTTAGTTCTCACACTGTTTATGTTTCCTTGTTCTTTTACCAACTCTTTACATGAAGTTACCGAAAAAGGGTTTCCCCCCGCTTTGTATTCCAAAGCACCAACACCGAGTACAGATAACGCTGTGGCGAGCAGCACAACACACCAGGAGAAAGAAGAAGAAGAAACAAATGCCAACCACGGCAGCTTGGCAAAGCGCGGACGACCCGCCACCACGGCGCCCACCGGAAATAAATCACCACAGACCAAGGCTCCGATCCGCCGCGTACCAAGCAGCACCTCCAAGAAGGGATGCGACGCCGGCGACGCTGCTGCCTGGACGAGTCCTCAGGTTTCCCCGGGCACGCGGAGGGAGGTGGGGGTGGAAACTCCCGACACCCTCCAGGAAGGAATGGTGGCACCCGCAGGTGTCACCGCGTCGGGGCCGAAGCCGGCAGGGATTTCTCCCGCATACCAACCCCAACCTCCCAACCGGACGGAACCCACCCGCCAAACCGTCGCCCACCACCATGCGCCAACGCAGTAGCGCCGCCACCCACGCCGCCTCACTACGAACACCACCACGAGGCCAAGAGGACCGGAGAGAAGCTCACCATGACGGGAGCAGCAACACCAACGCCGGGCGGGAGGGAACCACCTCCACCGCCGTCGTGCGGGAGGCCCGTGCCTCCGGCACCGTCGCGGTAGCCGTCCGGACGCGGCAGCGGGGCATGCCGGGCCACCCCCCGGCCCAGCCAGGCCCAAAGCAGGCCCGTTAAGCCCCGCCGGCCGCGATGCAGCAAGCCGGCGTCGTCGCCGCCGGCGCCCAGCCACTTGTCGCATCTCCCCCGCCTCCCAGAAGCCACGCTGGAGCCATCCCCGCCGCCGGCCCGCCCAGGCCCAGATGGGGCCCGAAGGGCCCAGATCTGGGCCGAGCGGACGACGCCAGATCCCGCCACCGCGCCGCCCCGCCGCCAACGGCGGCGCCGCCGCCCAGCTGCTCGCCTGCATGTGCCACGGATCCCCGCCGCCACGCCAGACCGCCGTCGCCTAGATGCACCCCCCGGAGCCGCACCGCCCGTGCCGGAGAGCGACCGGGAGGGG